GCAGCTTCCTACGAACTGTTCCGTGCAAGGATGCTACAGCTGAAAAGAGGACTGCTACTGACTATCCATATCAGTGTTTCTCATGCTGGCTGGGGAATTCTGGGAGTTGAAGTCCATACATCTTCAAGCTGTCAAGGTTGAGAAACACTGATTTAGAAAATTAATGGTGGAAATGGCTATCAACTATTCCTAGCTATGTTGTATGCTGCTTCTCAATACCCAATTCCTCGGTGGGGGGAGATTGACTAGTATCTAGTATCTAGACTAGCATCCATCCAACCTTTCCACAAGGGAAAAGAACTGCCATTCTAAATTTGAACAGAAAACTTAGAATTGCCCCATAAATCTATCCTACAGTGTCCATAATATATATATGTAGAATCTGGTATCTTCTCCCCAAAATGTCAATATGAAAATTATCAAGTTCTGAGATGTAAAGTTTGTATAGAGTTTGGTTTTCAGTACCTTTTCATTGTAAGGATAGTTAGTATATGATGCAGACCATCTTCTTTAACATCTAAATCCTGGAGTACAATCTGTTAAAAACAAGCAATCAAAAATATAAAATTCAGCTACACTGAGGTTTCAAGATTACTGTTAGCGAAACGTTCTAAGGACGATGTTTGCTTTAATCCTCTAATTGGACTAAATAACAAATGACATCAATTCTTTTCACATAGATTTTAGATCAACAGTAATGGAACCTCAGCACCCAGTGAAGGAAGATTCCAGACACTTTTTTTTTTAAATTTTAAATTTGGGGAGATTTGAGAAAGAGTCAAATCCTAGCAGAAAATTATGGTACACATGGCAAGCCTTAAAAATCCTCTAAATTCCTAAAAATCAGGCTATTTTTTTTCAAGTCATGTATTTCACACTTTAAATCCCTTTCCCCAAAGTGGAAAAACAGCCTAAAAAGTTAATCCTGCCCTCTCCCCACTATGATATAACAAGATTCCAATCCTTAAAAAAACTCTGCAACTAAATCCTAAACAGTAATTCTGAAATGTAAATAAATTTGTAGAAACCAACCATGAATTTCTGAGAGATGAGCGGCCATATAAATTTGATTGATAAATAATTTTTTGTGTAGAATAGCTGTGACCAACACCCGTTTCCTGAACATGCTTTTTTTCCCATTCTATGTTGTGCCTTTTATACCAGATTCCTATTCATGGATCTCAGGTTTCTAGTAAAAAAAACAACTGACACACCAAGCACGAACCCTACCCACTTCTGACAGGCTCTACCAATAAAATGTTCACAGGCCTGCAATCTCAAAGTGAGCACCACTGAAAACACGAATTTCCTTCTGAACAGACCTACAGATGATCACATGGTAAAAATTAGCATGCTTTTGTTCACCTGTGCAAATCTGCCATCTTCTTTCACTGGGCTTTTTTCCAGAGACTCGTACAATTCCAGACAGACAGAGGAAATTTCTCCTGGGGCCAGCAGAGTGTGTTGCCTTCGAGCTGGCAAAGGCGTTCCTGAGGGGAACACTACCATGAATTTGTCACCTCCCGACTCGTCCACTGCCTAGAAAACAAGAAATGCTTTGCAAAAGTTCCACCACTGCTGCTCATTTCAGGTGAATTTACTGCAATCAGAGACAGAAGTTGGTAGCACCCAGATGACCTTGGCAAATCTCAGCAAATTGTGGATGAAGACAACCAGGATATCATTGAGAAGTCAAAAAGATCCTAGGACAGTGTTTCTCAATCTTGGTGGCTTTAAGATATGTGGACTTCAACTCCCAGGATTCCCATGGCTGGCTGGGGAATTCTGGGAGTTGAAGTCCACAAATCTTAAAGTTGCCAAGGTTGAGAAATTTTGTCCTAGAAGGTGGCAGTGGCAGAGTTCTCCCAGGATTCCCATGGCTGGCTGGGGAATTCTGGGAGTTGAAGTCCACATATCTTAAAGTTGCCAAGGTTGAGAAATTTTGTCCTAGAAGGTGGCAGTGGCAGAGTTCCATATTTCTGCCAAGAAAGTTACACAGATATGTCCATGAAGGCACCAGGAATTGAACAAGACTCCTTTGCTTTTATTAAATGTTATTTATTTATTAAAAAGGAGGTAAAATTCAGATTAAGTATACATACTAATTTGTGACACAACGATTCAAGATTGTCTGTGTCCATGTCCCTTGGAGGAAACTGCATCAATATCACATTCACCTTAGTTGCCCCTTTTATTCAAACTGGCATAAAAACTTAATTACGCCTCTCTGAACCGCCGGTCACGGCAGAGCAGATGCCAGCCTTATTCTCTCCTTCCTAGCAGGCACTTCACAGATAACCACCAGGCAAGCAGCTGAATTCATACTCATTCCATTGCTGTTTCTTGCAACGTTGTTTAATTTTTCCTGTTTAGAATATTTTATATTATAACGGTCCCTATCTTTTCATCCTAATGTTTTCCAAATAGTATTTAATTTTGGTCAGTAACTGTGATGATCTTGGATTAGGGATGCAAAATGAGCAGGCACTGCTGTAACCATCTTACCTTGACTAATATGTCCTTGGCGGAACATTCAACAGACAGCAGGTCGTCGCCTGAGAAAGTGTGTTCTCTTCCTAGCAGGATCCCTGCCTCTATGGCAGCTCCAATAGGAATGACCTCATCTGGAGGAATGGAGTTTAGCAATTCAACAGTAGGGAAAAGCTCTCGGATCAGTTGTTGTAATTTCGGAATACGGGCTGATCCACCACAGAGAACTACCTAGAAGATATCAAAGCATTTTTTTTAAGGGTACAAAGGTTACGTGGGAAACGGATCATTGTTAGCCAAGAGTTAAGACTAACTTATCTGGGAAGCAAAAAATTAGTTGGTACCAAAGAGGGTTTTTTTTTGTTCTGTACCACTTTGTTGCCATCTAGTGTTTGTCTAGATTTCTGCATAACTAGTCCATCTGCCAAGGTATAAATATCTGATTAAGTGATTATATAGTAGCAGCATCAAAGCTAAACAGAAAACAACCACTCGTCTTGTAGATCTTGCTTAGTCATATGAAAACACGTTATATTTCACCAAAATAATCACGTAACAGTTACTATATGAACATATATGAAAATGTATATACTGTATGAAGAGACCTTGTGCACAATCTGGGGGTCCCTCTGGACTCACAACTCCTGCTTGAGGAGCAGGTGGCAGTCATGGCTAGAAGGGCCTTTGCTCAACTTCGTATTGTGAGTCAGTTGTGCCCATTCCTAGATCAAGGAGCTCTTCTCACAGTCATTCATGCCCTAGTTACCTCCCAATTGGATTACTATGATGTGCTCTACATGGGGCTATCCTTGAAGAATATCTGGAAGCTTCAGCTGGTACAGAATGCAGCAGCATGAATAGTTATGTGTGTTTCTAGAAGAACAGGTTACACCTTTGCTCCACAAGCTGCATTGGTTACCAGTTTGTTTCTGGGTCCAATTCAAGGTGCTGGTTTTGACCTTTAAAGCCCTACACGGCATGGGACTGGGTTATTTGAGGAACCGCCTCTCCCCAATTACATCTGCCCATCACACCAGATCTAGCAGAGAGGACACGCTGGGGGTCCCATCAGCCAGGGAGCTTTACTTGATGGTCCAAGGCGATGGGCCTTTTCTGCTGTGGCCCCCGCTTTATAGAACTTCCTTCCCCCCGAAGTGAGGCTGGCCCCATCCCTTCTAACTTTCCACAAGTCCCTTAAGACCTGGTTGTGTCATCAGGCCTGGGGACCCCAAGGGACTGGCAAAATACTGACATGACTCCAGTGTGATTAATATACCTGCTCCTCACCCAATATGTATTTTTTATTTTTGTGCCTTTTATAATTTTAACATTTTTAATAATAATAATAATATTAATATTTGTTTGTATATATTGTTTTTAGCTTTGTTGTATGCTGCCCAGAGTCACTTCTCTGCGAGATGGGTGGCCATATAAATATGACAAAATAAATAATTAAACATTACTCAATATTGTAATATTCCTCATTCTAGTGAGATTTACAGGTTCAGAAGGACAAATCCCTACATCTGTTTCTCATTTGAAAGTCATACATTTTATAAACACTAGTTATTTATGCACAACAATATGGTTTTGGCTCTGCAGAAGCCAGAATTCCCCATTACATCTAAACCAAGGAACCCTGATTTCCCTAAACTGCTCAAGACTTAGAAATTAAATGAGAAAACAAATGAATAAAAGGCCACTCTTACCTTACTGATATCATCCGTTGCAAGTCCAACTTGTTGCAACAATATTTTGATTGCTTCAATGCACTTACCAAAAAGTGCAGCACAAATAAGTTCAAATCTGGCCCTGTTATACAATACAAAAAGCATAACTAGTAAGAGGAACATTCACACTCCTTTTTGCTCTCATGCAGAGAAAGTTGGAGTACTGTATAGCCTACCATGGTGCAGCCGGTCCTGTGCCAAATGAGTGAATGAGATCATTCTTCTCTACTCAGAATTAAAATTCAAATACCACTACAAAAAATGTTAGCGTGACGTATATATAAGTGTGTGAGTGTGTATCCTTCCTTCTGTAATGCTTCACAAAAGAATGCTTAAGATTGTTTTTATATTCTGTGCTATCCATCTTCTGAGCAGTTAACAGTCAACATTATGATGCTTGAACGTTGTGATGGATCCAAACAGGGTGAATAAACTGCAGCTGAATCACATAAGGCAGAGATAATATTAGAGGGTGGCTGAGTATCCATGTAAGCAGTTTTCAGCCTGTTTGGAAGCCCAGAATCTATCAGTGTTAACTCACAGCACAGCTGGCTTCAGTGGTCAGGAAGATCAGCTGTGACACTCTATGGGCAGCACCTTTCTATATGCGACATGCTGAATTACTCCGGAAAGCAGTTTGGAAACTTCAGCTGGTCCTGAGTAGACCTACAAGGTTACCAACTGGGATTGGCCTATACAGGCTTGATGCTCTTGTCAACTGCACTGTCTGCTGGTCTTTCAAAGTATTGGGATTGCTCTCCAAAGCACTGAACTGCTTCTTTGGGGCTCAAATAGAAGAAAATTTGCCTCCTTGCCAAATACACCATCAGGACACAAGAGTTACCCTCTGTGGATGCTCTTTAAGTAAAGTTGACAGGATGGTTAAAAAGGGAGGAAAAAACCCTTCTCATTGTGGGACTTGATGGGCAGCATTCATGTGATTATGAATAGTTATTTCTACTTCATCTCTCAATATCCATCTTGCCTAAGGATGCCTTAAAGCAACATCAGGAATCATAAATGAAAATGCAGTAAATGCTGGAAATTTGGAAGTCAAGGAGCTATGTGGGGGAGCCAGTGGTGTAATCTTTACCCCCTTTCCTTGGGGACCTTCCTATAGGTCTGCTGGTGACAATGGCCCTGAGGAGGGAATAGGCAGATGGGATGATCTTTGCCTGCTTTCCATCTAAGGAGAGACACTATGGATCTACACTGATGCCTTTTTGCCAAGACAGAAACCTTCTTCCCAGCATTTGTATATTCAGCTTTTCCTTCATTAGGATTACCAGCACCCTCATGATGGTCACCCTGGCCTTCTGCCCAGAGGAACAGTGACTTTAAATAGTTCATATTATCTTTTCTGTGCAATGTATTAGTGGCAATGTTATTATTTTTCTGCTTTTAGATTGCTTTATAATCTGCCTGGAATTTTTGGGCCAGCTTAAACCCCTACAGTGGTTATCAGTAGACTTTTGGATGCAATTTAAAGTGCTGGTACTAAGCTATAAAGCTCTAGATGGTTTGGTGCCTAGTTATCTACAGGAGCGCGCCTTCCATTCCAGTTCGATCTACCTGGGAGAAACTAGGATTGGTGCCCCAGTTTAGGGAGGTGACAGGGGCTGAGGCTTGGGAAGCTGCTTTTTATGGCCATTGGTTCTTTAAAACGGCCTCCCTGGGGATATCTGGTTGGCTCCCACCCTGACCGCCTTCCAGAGGTCATTTGGCCTTAGCTCCATCTTGGTGGGGTTCTAGGTTGGTCTGGTTAATTTCATCTACGTTTTCATTAGTTTGTTGACCTTTTCTTACACCCTTTCTTTTCGTGTATATTGTTTCTTGTTTATTGTACCTTGCTAGCTGCTAAATGGAATCAAGGAATCAGCAGTCTAGAAATGTGATTAATAAAAAATAAGTAACACAAACCATCTGCAGGGGATAAGGACTGCTGTGTTCTATAAGTACTACTAATTCCTACCTAATCACAAGCGCCGTTTTCTGTAGGACCTAATGTTGAAAAATAGGGATGTGCAAAATTATTTGAATATTGAACAGTTTTGAACTTCAAAGACCATGTTTTGAGTTCAAAACAACCTTTCCTGATAATTCTAGAAGTGCCTCAAGCTTGAAACAGCCCTGCTTCCAGCTCAAAGCACTAACAAAATGATTGAAAAAGGCTTGGTTGGAATGTCAAAATGCTTCAAATTCAGGACATTTTACAGGTGCCTACTGCAAAGCTTCCTCAGTGAAAGTAAAGAAAAAGGATGCATATCTAGAGACTTGAAAATATTGAGGCTTACCTGGAAACATTACAGTCAAAATCCAGACCATCATAGAGGGAATCAACAAAGCAATTTGCTGTTCCTAATGTTGATAACGAATGTTTTGCAACTTCAGCACTGTTCATTAACTTCATCATAGCCCTGGGATTTCCTCTCACATCATTTTTATAAGATCTGTTTTTAAAAAATAACCTAGTTATTAATCAGAACAAGACATACATAGTTACACTAGCAGCTATTTATCCTGGATGTTATGAAAATGTATTATTTCCAATCACTGCCTGAAATCCAATATAAACAAATGAAATATGTTGCTGGTATTGAAAGCTGAATAGATGTGCTTATTAAGGAAAAAAAAAAGTTCCACGTGACATACAAAGCCAAATATTAAAGATCTGAACATTCCTAATTATCTATATCTTTACTCTGTACTCCTGAAATGGACAGTTTCACAGAAGTGGTTAATAACAGCTATAAAATACCTTTAATATTCTCAGAGAGATTCACATTAGAAATGACAGGCTCTTTCAAGAATCTAAAATTAAACAAAGGATCTTTCGCTCTATCCTACTGAGACCATTAAAGCCAGTACTACTTAAACATATTCTTAGCTGGCATGTTCTCCCACAGTAATCTGAACAACATTGACAACAGAACCACCTTTAGGAAAAAATTCTGCCTGACTGTGTGGAGGCAGTTTTTACAACAAGCAAGTGGTTCTTTATAAAATCCAGATTTTTCTTCAGGGTAAATTAACAACCATCTTCAATGCAGTAACAGCCTTTTCCTCCTCACAGTAATATTTTGACTATATGTTGATGAGTTTAATTGTTGAGATTTACCTTGAAAAGCTGCTTCATGTCATTCCAAAACGTCAGATGCTGTTAGTATTGCTGATTATCGTTCAATGTATAAAACCTTATTTATTAGATTTATATCCCACCTTCTATTCAGGAGTTCAAGGTGAGGCACACAGCATTCTCTCCTCCTCCTGAGAGAGAGTTACTGCCTCAGGTCACCCGTGATCTTCCATGGCTGAGAACAGACTAGAAGTTCTGTTTCCCCATTCCTAGTCCAACACAGTAACTGCTACATCAAACTTTGTTCTAGATTCTATAGCACTTACCTCTGAAATTCTGAAGCCAAGTGTTGGGCTAATGCTTCTGTAAAGCAGGTCCCACCTATGCTGTCATCGGTGTTGGTAGAAAGTACACGATACAGCCCGCTGTTGACTTCTATAACCGTGATGGAAAGTGATGTACCTCCAAGTTTATACACTAGCACATTGCTTCCATTTGCAAAATAAAAATGGAAAAATAATTATTTCTCAAAGTGTTAACAGCATATTCTCATAACGATAATGGTTCAGTTATGAATGCCATTTAGAAATTCAGTATAAAAGACAGGTTGAAGTGTGATCATTTCTGACCATGGTTAATTGCAAAGAACGCTTACTTCATTTATTTGCAACAGAGAGGGTCCAAACAGAGAAAAAGACAGAAGACAGCAGAACAAAGTACTGTATGTCATTGATCTAAAATATTTGTATGCCACTTTGCTACAAAGTACCCAAAGCAGCTAGTGTAACAGTATGATTTTTAACCAGTTGTTCCTATATGCAGATCAGTAGCATTATTAAAATCAAACAAATTGAAAATGCCAAGGTCATCTCCAGCACCAGGAAATTCTTTACACATCTAGCAGCCAGAATCCATGGCAGCAAGTTACCTCTGCAGGCACTTCATCCCATGCAGCCAAATCCAAAATCCAGAAACTGCAGTGTCTTGCTATTACACCTTATTCAGGGGTGTGCCACGGCCAGGAAGAGCTGGCTAGAAGCCGACGTTCATTCCTGGTTTAGTGCTGTAACGTAGCCTGTAATGTTTCTATCTACTAAAATGGTTTCTACCCAAAACATATCATAGTAGCCTCTGGACTCCAAAAGTGGTGGGAGTCTGCAATCCTGAAACTATCTATGAAATACTTAGTCTTTCCATGGTCAAAAATAGAAAGGATATTACTATGAGCATGCAGTAAATTTGCTCCCATGCCTGTGCTGTTTTGTGCCATTTAGAAATGAAAAGCCATTAACCAAGAGTGCATTTTTATAATAAGGAAGCTGCTATTACTAAGCATGCTTGCAGAAGGGGTTCCATTAAGTCTTACTTCAGTGTAAAAATTACCACAATTCCCATAGCTGAGAAACCCTTAATCACCTTTTTCCACTGGGTGAATCTTGTCCAATTCCATAAGCAAGCAGAGCTGCAGAAGGTTCGTGAATTAGTCTAAGAACGTTAAGTCCAGCTGCCTTAGCGGCTTCTCTGCAACAGACGTGACAAGAGAAATCAGTATGTTGACATAACCCCAACAACCTTTTTCACCGGAAAACAGCCAAGGTAGTTCTTGTATATCAGCATAGGTAAATCTAAACCGGTGATTCCCAACTGTGGCAACTTCCAGATGTATAAACTTCAGCTTCAGAGTTTCTGGGTGAATGGAGTGGTTATACACATTTAATAAAACAAACAAATAAATAATAAACTTCCAGAATTTCACAATCAGCATGGGCATGGCTGAGAAGTTTGAGATTTGAAGTTCACAGAGCTTCAAATTACCAAGGCTGGGAAACATTATTTTGAACCACTCCAGGTATAAGTTGTCTTATATCACCATGCTATAATATTATGCAATTAGGGAAATATTTTATTTCAAAAGTTACATCAACCTGTAACAGAAAAAGAAGGGATAGCATCAAGTTTGTGTTTATATTCACTTCTACATCAAGTCCAAGAAATTTGAAATTTGCCTCTACTTTCAATACATTTGTATTTCAGTAATGTGATAACTGCTATGATAATAGCAGTATTTGAACACCAAATATGGGGAGCAGAAGTTGCTTTAGCAATAGATGAATATGGGAATTGGTGTTTTAATGGTGTATCAGTACTTGAAAATGATAGCCCAGCCAGGTAGAATATGCCCTTTGGGTTTCATTTCAGGAAGCCAAGTATCCCAGCCTGATCCTTGTATGGTTTTACAAACTCTTTTTGTGTCCATCACAAAAAGAACATATCCTAGAGAAAAGCAGGAACAGGGTAGCTTATACTGACTGGTAAAAGATAGCTAGCATTACTTCTAGTTTGGCCTTTCTTTTTTCCTCATGGAAAAATTCAAGATAATCTGTCGCTGTTTATTTGTGACTTCTGTTCCCAAAGATGCAAACCGAGAAACCAGAGTATCTACCTCTCGACATTTCATGTGGCTGAGCTCAAACCAAAATCCCGTCCAGGCAAAATACTCTGTCCACAGGACCTGACATCATGAACTCTTGAAAATGTATCCAGGGCAAGCAACCGCAAGGAACCATACTCACCCAAGGGCGTTTTTCTGCTTCTCTCCAAAATCAAATGGCACGGTAATAACAGTGTCATTGACATCAGAACCCAAAGCAAACTGAGCAGTTTCTAGATAAATACATAATGCATAATGAATGAAAGCTAGTTCATCTTCTAGAACTTAACATTTTTTTTCAACTGAAGTACGTTTGAATACCATACCTTTCATTTTCCTGAAGATTAACTTTGCAACGTCTTCTGGAGAAATAAATTTGCCATCTATTTCATAATTAAGTTTTCCATTTCTTTCAATGACCTATAGATAAATCAACAACAAATATTTCTCAGCTTAGTTGTACTATCAGAGAAGATTTTTAGTGCAATTACACCCTATCCTTTGCTTAAGAAAACAATCACGGCATTTCTGATCCAAGCAATTATGCCAGTTATTTTATATTATAAAGAAATCAAGACATTACTTTACAGTAGTCTTTTCGAACTAGGACCTCCAAAGAATTAAGGAAACTGAAGTCCACATAGCTGCACTACAACAAGCATGTGAAAAATCTACAAATATCACTACTCCAACAAACAAAAAAAGTGAGCATTCTTCTGAGAATTTTGCAACTCAATTTCTCGTATTTTTTTTTAGCATATGAAAAATTTTCATATTCATCTCCCTCATCGCTTGATATCAGAAGCATGTTATCTTTAGGTATCAATGCAGAACATATTTGATCCCACAACGAAAAACTCCCATTCCTCATTGTATACTTCACATTATTTCCATTCTATCAAACTTCCAAATTTAAGAAAACAGCAATTGTTTTGTTTAACTTTGCTAGTTCACTTGGCCCTGTGCTGAATACTGATTTCCTGGAACATCAATCAGATTGAATAAATGGAGGGGGTACATGTGGCTCTGGGAATATTCCTTTTGCCCTTGTTAATGGTCTTATATCTTCCAAATAGGTATATAAAACAAACGCAAGGCAGAAGCATTGGTAATCTTAAAAATGTGCCTCTTCTATAGTTATTTGCATCCTCTGTATAGCACATATTTCAGGACAACCGTAAGAAGTGGACTGTAGAAGTGTAGTAGATGACTTCATAAATACAGATGAACATCCTTACAGGAAAAAATTGCAATGCATGCTCTCACTTACTGAACATTTACTTTCTGCAATGTACTTTTCGGCTTGTGGGTCTCCAGAGCTAAGAAAACAAGCAAAATTGGAAGGGACTTTAAAAATATTAAATTAAAAAAAGGAAAGAAAAGAAATACTGCATTATTTATGTTTTCACTGTATGGGAGTCAAGTCTCACGAAGTCAACTTTCATTCCTGATTTAAGCAGTATAATAATTTCTGTATTTCTTTTAATAATGAAAAAAACCCAAACAAATGAAAAGCCAAATCAAAATCAGCTGCTTTCTAAACAGCAGCACTGAAACTTTGTAATATGCTTACCAGCACCACCAAAGAAGGATCAGTTCATAATTACATTTTAAAAGGTAGTGATTTTATTCAGATTTATACTAACAGATTACAAAACTATCCTTTAACATGACATTTTATGGCATAATCCATACCTTCTTCCAAGAATCTGTTTCACTTTCACTACAGTATTTGAGAGATTTCTCACTCGGTTTTGTTTTGCTGCCAGACCAACAACCTGAGAAAAGGATTTAAGAGCTTTTTAGGAAAAAGATAACATGATTCTGGCTTGAAATGACTTCAATGAAATTTTAAGCCATTTTCCGTTTAATGAAAAAGGAAATTTACCTCTTCCTTTTCTGAAAATGCAACAACAGCAGGAGTTACTCGGTCGCCAGCATCATTAGCCACAACATCTGCACGGCCATCCTGCAACATATCAACACATTTACTACGACTGGAAACAGGTCCTTACGTATTGTAAACTAATAAAGGAAAGCTCAGCGGTATATCCAGATTTTTATATCTTTTAAAAAACAAATAAGGTGTAAGGCAACAAATTTAGGTCTATGTTCAAAAAGACAGTGAGACTTAATTTTTTACTTTGGTAGGGGGAAAAAATAAGAGAAATCCTTACAGACCAATCTGATTCAAATATAGTAAGTCAATCTTGTAATTCAATAAGTACAATAAGTAAATATAAGATCCTACAAATCTAACTCAATGTAGCAGAAATAAACTCAGTGAGTTTATTTACAGTAAGGTGGCATCACTTCAGTTAATAATTGTCCAATATTCTCTATTCTTCAATCATAATAAAATATAGTTTACATTAACTGATAATAAGCTGTTTCGTAACAAATAGATTAACTTGTATTCTCGAAGGCTTTCACGGCCGGCATATGCTGGCTGGTGTGGGTCTTCCGGGCTGTGTGGCCGTGTTCTGGAAGTTTTGTTTCCTAACGTTTTG